AAAGAAGAGTTAGGGTGGGGATGTGATTGATATGTTTAAGATTGTAAAGGGAATTGATAGTGTTGGTGCATCATCTTTTTTCATACTTAACATTGAGAATAGTTGGAGTCATCTTCTGGTAAGACAGTTTTATATTTCTAACAGGGTAGGTGGTCTTTGGAATGGAGTGTTTTTGGATGTTGTGGAGGCAGTAAATTTAAGAGAGTTTAAGAGAAAGCTTGATAACTATGTGAATGATAAGGGCTGTCTTTTTAAACTTTATTTTGATATATAAATTTATTTATTAATAGTTTTAGTTTAATTTAGAGGTTGGAACACTGAGATGGACCAATAGGTCCCATGTTGTCCCAAAATGTTATATTATGCCGTAGGGCTGTTGTGAAGATGTGAAGTCGTTAGTCAGAGCTTGACCTTACATGGTGAAATGGTCTGCAATGATGTGATTAGGCTCCAAAGTCATTTTAATATAACATACTTAACCTCTGTATAAGAACAAATTACATGCTCTTACAGATCTGTGACATATCAGGATACAATCCCATACAACAAAATACTGCCTAAATCAAGAATATTAAAAAAAACAACTAAAAAAGGATAAATGTCAGTTACATTTAATGAAGTACATAAAGTAAACTAAGGTGAAAATAACAAAAATCAACCACAATCATTAGAAATATGATCCCAATACTGAACTATTGTTAAGCATGGATGTTGCAGAAATTTAATTCTGAATGTTCTGTTGACTGGTTATACATTAACTTCTCCAAAATAAGTCAAAACTACATTTTGTAGCCCTTTACTTTTTGGATTCTGTATTACTGATAGCAGGAAAGTGTTTGTAGCCTTTTACTTTTTGGATTCTGTATTACTGATAGCAGGAAAGTGTTTGTAGCCTTTTACTTTTTGGATTCTGTATTACTGATAGCAGGAAAGTGTTTGTAGCCTTTTACTTTTTGGATTCTGTATTACTGATAGCAGGAAAGTGTTTGTAGCCTTTTACTTTTTGGATTCTGTATTACTGATAGCAGGAAAGTGATGCAGAAGCTAATGCATTCCTCTTTGACTGCCCTGATTCCAATTTTTTATTAGACTGGTATTCCTGTTTCACATCTACTAGGGTTGACATTTTTACTCTTGTGCAAGTGGTGTTTCACGTGAATTACTAATTTGGCAAAAATGAATCGGCTCATTACAAATATTGACAGTTGATTGCACTACTAAGTATAGCATATAGAAACAGAAGTAATTTAGTAGCTCTTTCCTTATCGTTAATCTCAGGCATGAGATTAATGTTGAGAAAAGAGCTACTCTAAGTTGCTTCTATTTTTATAAAAGGTTGTTGTTTGTTAGTAACTATATCTTGTATGTGGTAGCACTGATTCTGGAGAAAAGTTATGCTTTTATTATAATTACCATCATTTCAACAACAACTGAGTTTTTCTCTCCCTGCTTGAAAGCTTGATCAGCTCCAGAAACTTCATTCACTGAGAAGGCTATCTCAACCCCCACTACCCTGCCAATATCCAATACTACTGAGTGTACAAGACCTGCCCAAGTGGTCCCTGCCTGCTGGACCTATGAGTGGTTTTGACATCATTCTTTGGAATAACTGTTTGGGGAGGGGATAGTTAGCCTTGAACTTCCAGAATTTTTTTTTTTTTATATAGAAGTTGATAAACTCATCAAGATAAAAAAAAGTACACCTGAAATATAGGCTGCAAAATATAAGCATCCAAAAACATCACTGCATAGACTCAGTAAAACTTCTAGATATAAGGCTAATTTTATTCATTGGAATTTGGAAGGTTTTTTATTCTAATATAAATAACATTAGGGTTTTGATAAATTTTTACCATCCCATTTTTGCCTCCTTACAAGGGATTTTCTTTAACTCAGCTGAGGAATTCTTGATTCTTAGTTTGTGATGGAACAGAAGGCTAAAATCTGTGATTGACATTCTTGTAGGGTATATGTCAGTGCTTGTCAGCCATCATGAATGTTATTGCCTTGACACCACTGGTGGCTGTTGTCATCTGCATTTCGATTATGGTATTATGTACACAGTTTGTTATTTGTGTATGCCACCTGGGGAAGATGTATGTATTAGGCAGGAATTTATTATCTTGTATATCAGCTGCTATTATACTCCATTTGTCACACTTTGAGGCTTCAGCTGAATATTTTACTGTTCAACACTAGTAGATAAAAAAAGTAGCTTAAGATATCCAATCATCCTACTCTTCTCCAATCAGTTATAAGTTGTTAGGTATTAGGTCTTAAAGTCAGTGTTTGGTCAAAGATCTCATGATTCTTCATACACAACATGGACATTCTTGAAGATTGAGTTTTAAGTGTCACACCTTAATGTTTTTCTTGCCAAAGCTAAAGCTGTTATAGAACAAGTTCTTTCATCTGTTTTGGTGACTTTAAGATATGCCAAGGATGCATTGTATTGAGAAGCAGGCTCAAGGTGTTATTAATCAAATATGTGAGTGAAGTATGGCAAATGGGTTTAAATTTTCTATATCCATAATCTTTTTCGTGTATTTTTTTCACCTACAGAGAATGCAACACAACCCAGAACTTCTGGGAAATGTTGTGATTCATGTGGTGGCAGAAGCAAATTTCTAAGAACTCATTCTTGATAGTAGGTTGTCTCTTGATTCCACATATAAAATAGCTGAAGGTTAATTGTACAAGAGCATGGAATTTTTATGTTACACTGCAACTTCACTGTTTTCTTTATTTGTTTACATGCCATTTTCCTTTATATGTAGAATTAATATATTTTTTATTCTTATTTTTTACTATTCTTAACCCTCTTGCTACAGGTACATTAAAATGTGCATGTCACAACTTTTTAGAGGATTACATTCAATTTTTAATTAAAGTATTTTATTATCATTGTATACAAATATACATGGCATCAAAACAGTTAATAAATCCAATTGTAATATTATGTAAGTTTAAGTTCTTAAAATTTGTTCTTATGGGAATCACAACTAGCTTTGCTGAATTTTTAAAGGATCTTATCACACAGTTAGAAAGCCAGAATAATTATGATAAAGGACATTATTTGCTTTTTGCTTATTATTATTCTGTGTTCTTAAGTGCATTATTTAGATAGATAAAAAATATTTTGTGTAGTAGTAGTAGTAGTAGTAGTAGTAGCAGCACAATTAGTATAAAAAAGTAGGCTTAAGTTTCATTCATATCTGACAGCAAAACAAAAAAGAAAACCCAGGTAAGTACTATATTTCTTGTTTTTCATGTGTATTCTTTATTTATTATTATGAAAGTAACTAGAATGTAAAATTAAAAACTTATTAGGTAAGATAAAGAAGAAAAAATTCTTAGAGGTATGCTTCTTAGCAGCTCATGAGTAGCTCATGCTTTACATAATTCAGTATGGTAACATGAGCTACTGGTTCACCTAATGATTTACAATTTGTGTGGCAGGATTATTAGACACAGTTTAAAGGGCAATAAAACTGAAGTAGAAACAGATGTATACTGTTACAAGCTTTAACCTATTTAGGATAAACAACTTTAGTTTCCTGTTACAATTTTCAGTCATTCTAGAAAGAAAAACAGTAATCTATATTTATTTCTTACTTTTTATGGTGATTACAAGGCTGGTCAACTTGACTGAATGCGTATAGAATTAGGTTAGAGAAGCTATAGATAGAATATAAAGTTTTACTCAAACAAAACATCTGTTATTTATTTTGGAGGTTTTAGAGATTGTTAATGAAATTTGAAAATTTTCAGATGAAGAAAAGTATTTCTAAAATTAACATGAAAATAACTTTGTACTTGGAGCAGTCAACACTTTAACTCCGTATATGCAAAGAGAAATTTCAGTAAAAATACTTTATTAAAGCTTCCGTTTTTTTGTCTACAAAAGACTTCTAATGTTTACTAAAAGTTTGCAAAATTTCATGAAGATACATAAAACATATTAAACATATGGAAACTCTAAAGGTCAATTTGAGGTCATGATCTTGGTTGAATTGCCTGAGCCTGTAGCAAGAGAGTTAAATACTTTTATGTTGTAATTTGTTTTATACATTTCTCTTTTTTTTTTGGTGCAAATGGAGCTTGCTGTCTTTCACAATTAAACCTCAAGAAACAACAAAAGCATTGAATATGATGTGAAAGTATACAGATTTTTCCATGCTTTGAATTTATCAAGTCCTAATCTGCTCAAAGTTAGACTATGGTTCTGTAGTCTGTGCTTTAATCTGAGAGCATAATAATTAGTTGGCAAACTGAGATTCTGGCTTGAAAGTGTTCAATCCAGTTTATCATCAGGGTCATAAACTATTTTCAAGGGGCTTCTTCACTTCATCAGTCAAGAGTTTCTTCTCAGAGTTCTGAACCTGTACTCTATATTCAACATACATATCTATCTTTGTAGTGAGCTTCAAAACTATAATCTTTGACCCAGCATCCCATTTGGCATTGTACTCTTGTGTCTTTGTTGGCAAAGATTTTTGAAATTAATTGGTGTGACATTCCTATTTTTAGTCTTAATATCCAAGCATCATTCAGTTTTCCTTCTAGACAGTTGTTTCTAATTATCAACATATCCTGCTATGGCTGATTACTGTTCCTACTCATGATTTATTGTTGGGTCTTTGTAAGAAGTCAGACATCCGTAACTGGAAATGTTGACTTCTTTTTTTATCAGCACTGTTAGAGCTGTAAAGATGCCTGTGATGAGCATTTGAATCTAGCTTCATAGAATAAAATTAATTTTCAGATAGTTATCCTACCAGCTGAACTTTACACAATACATTATTATTCTTTTAATAAGGTAACCAAAACTGAAACTACTACTCAAAATGAAAATATAGTTTATTTAAAGTTGGTTGGTGTAATTGGTAAATCTTGAAAAGTAACAAATAAATACATTTGTAAAAATTGTTTTTTTTTGTCCAGATTCTGAATTTTTTGTGTATAATATTAAACTTTGTTTTGACAAACACTTTTTATAGAGAAATGATCAGCTGAAAGGAGAATTGGATATTTATGAAAAACTTTTGTATGGAAAGTACAAAGCCTCTGAAGTACTACTGCAACAGGTAAGAATTTAAGTAGATTGAAATTATTAGTTACACATGGTGGCTGTTTACTTTTTAGTTTGCAGTATAATAGCTTATTATGCACTCTACATGAATATGTATATTTTATTAAGATACTTTAACCATATGAACTAAAAAATACTTGATTGAAATTTGTTTTTGTTAATGTGAAGTTCCATAAATGTTTGTTATTCACTTAGAAGTTCCCTTTGAATAAGTTATTCCACATTTTATAAAGAAAAATCGTTTTGAAGAAATATTTTTTTTTTTGCATCAGTTAAACATAGCAGAGAATGAGAAGGATGAGGTTGTTAAAATGGGACGAGAAGTTTCCAGTGAACTGCAACAAGAAGTTAACTCTTTGCAGTTTGAACTTCAGTGTACAGAAGGCCAGTTATCAGACATTCAACAGCAATGGCTTGACAGATATAACAGGTATGAAGTTCACTTCATCAAAAATATGATAAACTAAAAAAAATGTCTTGATTATTATACATTTCATAATATATATTTTGGGTAACAGTGTTTTTTTTTAACATCTTCTACTTAGATAGCCTACAAATTATATATATATTTGTGATTGATATTATTACTTTTTCTAAGTATTTTATAATTTTCCCTGTGAATAATTTAACAATATTCATTTACAGTTGTGAATGAACGCTATTTAATTATTCCAT